TCTCTCTCTCTCTTTATTTCTTCCCGCTTTCCCCCTCTGTTTCTCACAGTCTCTGTCACTTTCTGTACTTCTGGCTGAGTTCTGTTTTTATTTTTGTCACTGCCACTTTTCATTCCCTTCCTTTCTTCCCCCGTTACTCCCTCCTCCTCTCTCGTTCACTCTTTCTCTGTTTCTTTCTTTCTCTCTCCTATTTTTTGCTTTCTCTACCACAATTTCCTCTGTGATTTGCCTTTTGATTTCCTCTTCATTCTCACCCACTGTCTTTCTCATGCAGGTTTTCTCTCTCTCTCTCTCTCTCTCTCTCTCCATTTTCCTCTTTCCACTTAGCTGTGTGTTGCTTTATTTCTCTGGGCTCCACCTTCTTTCTGCCTCTCTACCTGGCCTTTTATTCTCTTTGCTAAACCTCTCTCCCAGCTTTCCTTTGTTCCTGTCATTCTCATTCTTTGTAATTCATTTTACCCATTGCTAATTTACTCATTTCTCACACTCCCTGATTCCAAAATCAACAAGGAGCTCTTCTAAAATGCTCTATGGTTCAGCTGGGTGGTGCATTGGGCTAAGAAGTGATCTCCCTCTCCCTACTTTCAATGCTAGCTCTATAACACTAGGAAATATGGAATACAGACAATAGAACATGGCTCTTGCTGTGAGATATGAAAAGGCTGGTGTTCTGTGCTGATGTTGTTCAAGCAAAGGGTACACTGAAGACAGGGGGTAGCTCTTAGAATAGTTCAGTGTCTGACATGAGCAAAGTGCATTTGTTGATAGAGCAGCAGAACTTCCATGGTACTTGTCAAACACCCATCACCTGAAACTTGTATTTACTTCCAACTCATTTCAGAGTGGAGTTCTGGCACCTCTATTGAAAATCTTGTGGAACAGAAATGTGAAGTCAAGGAACCAAGTATTTAGACTTCATCACTTATTCTACAAAACAGTGGTTCTCAAGGGGTGTTTTTTTTCATGCCATAAGCATCCATGTGATAACAAAGTATTGGGACCTCATTCCCACCTTCCCACAAAGAAATGAAGGATAATTGCAAACCTTTCTCCCTCTCTGCTCCTCCACTGGAGTGGTTTGTGATTTCTCTGGGTCACAACCTTCCATGATGAGGACCCATGCTATGGAGTAATCTCCTGTTTACTGCTTCCTGCACTGTTTTCCCTGTGTCCTTTATTGTTGGTTCCCACATCTCAGCCTTAGCATAAAGGCCTGGGTATGGAAACACTGCCTGTGAATCAGCTTGGAGTTTACAGATGCGGAACTGCTCATTTGTGTGGTGATCATACGAGGGTTTGTCAAGCAGCAGTGAATAACCTGGGCAAAGTCTGACTGGAAATTTGGTATAGTGCCAAGGGTGCTAGTCTGGTCTTGGGGAGACAGTGTTCAATTCTCTACTCACAGAATTCTGTGTGACCTGGACCAAGTCACTTTATTTCTCTGAGACTACGTTTTCCCCATCTGTAAAAGGAGGATAACAACGCTTCCTACCTAATAGGGCTGTTATGCAAAAAAATACATTGAAGACACTGGACATGTCTACACTGCAGAGATTAACCCACCAGAGATCAATCTTCTAGCATAAGATTTAGCGGGTCTAATGTAGCCCCCTGTATTGAATGGTGAAAGCAACCCCCACTGGTGTCTGATACTCCTCCTTCTGTGCGGAATAAGGGAAGTTGGTGGGAGCATGTGCTCTTGTCAGCCTCCCCCAGTCTGGACGCTGTGGCAGTTTGGCTTAAAGTAAGTTGACTCCAGCTACTCATTTTGTGTAGCTAGATGGCATACCTTAAGCCCACCTGTCTGGTCTAGGGTAGACCAGGCCACTGAAAGGTGCTCAGATAAGTATCTGGTATAGCTAGATAGCCATAAACTTGTGCACTTTTAGTGGTGGAGTGGACCTCAGGATAGTGAGCAAACTCTGTTATTTATAAAATGTTTTAAGAGATACCGATATACTTTCATATGCTGTGTGTTAGAAATTTTACATTTTAATGAAGTTCCAGCTGCTTCTTTAAAATAATCTTATTTAATGGGCTGAGTTGCAGGAAAGTTGTACTTTTAGAGTAACCATGGCTGGAGGGAATGGACGACATTACATCAGAGAGAAGACTCGTTCTACGCAGAAACATCGGTAAGAAACTTTATAATGTAATATAAAATAATGATCATAAAAAGCACTAATATCAAATATGAATATAAAATAAAAAGATGCCCTCCAGTGAAAACATATGAACCATTGACTATACGTTACTGGGAAGCATTGCATCGTTCATATGCTCACAGTGGTTTCATTGGTCAATGTCCATTCATTATATTTCAGCAGTGACACAAGCCATAGGACAGGACCTATGACAAGATGTGGAGGAAGGAACCCGAGAGAGAGGGTCATTGTGCAAATATATTTGTTTAGAAGGCTTCACTATTTGATAGTATTTCTCCTTAAATAAAAGTTTACATGAGAAGCATTCAGCAAACAAAGGAACATAATTCTCTACCTCAAACCACAAAGCAGGAAAAGAAACCCTTCCATTTTTAGTTGCATCAGAAACAGAGGACATATTTTCACTTGAATTGAAACCATTCAAAAAGGCAACAAATGCAATTTGTATCAGTAATTTACTGGAATCAGTCTAATGCTTCAGACATCAATAAACTTAATTGTTTTCCATTTCAGGTCGAAGTAATTACTCCAAAATGACACCAATTTGCCATCTTAGAGAAAAATAATAAACCTTTCACTTCCCACATTAAAGAGTCTGATACCAGTTTTTAATATAAACCCTACTTACATAATACCCTAGTGTAAATATTTAAGGTAATCGTAAATATTTAAGGACATCTAAATTTTTTCTCAATAAAGATTTCTTTACCTTCACTAATCCACTTCTTATTACCTATTGTTACAGGAATCTATTTCCTAAATTGATTATCTATCAGACCCTGGACAATTTTACATGCCTCTGACAAAGTTCTAGGGAGAACTACATGACCTTTAATATTATTTTTCTTCCATCTACAACTGCCTATGAGTTTCCACTCTGTTATTTTTGTTCACTTAGGAAATGTCCACACAGTATCTGGATGCATGCATGTGAATAGCTATCTCTGCTCGAGTTGCTGTGATAACAATAGCAGCATTGCGATAGCAATGATTTGGGTTAGTCACCTGAGTATAAACTCACCCAGTTACTTGGGCATGTATGTGGATAGCTAGCCCTTGCCACTGTGGCCACGTTGCTCTTCATAGCATGCTAATTCAACCTGAGCTAGCACATGTCTATCCACCCACATTGAGAAGCATGCTCCCAGATACAGTGTAGATGTATCCTGAATATGAAACCCTGGCTTCACTGAAGTGAATGCAAATTTTGCCATTCAGTGCAGTGGGGGCAGGATTCCATTCTTAATTTTTCATCTTGTCCTAAAACCTCTCTTCTTTCTGCTACCTACTATTGTGCATTGATGTTTATCGTCTCCCTTCTTGCCTTGTAGCCTAATCCTGCATTTGCTATAAGGGTTACTATTCTGAGCAAGCATCTAGTCACCCATCCTGCAAAAGGATCCATGAAGGCAGGCTCTTAGAGTTAGCTACACGTTGAGCTGCAGATGTAATTTCCAACTGGAGGAGGAGACATACCAGTCCTAGCTTTAACCAAGCTACTGCTCTAAAAATAGAAGGTTAGCCACTGCTGCCTAAACAGTGGGAAGGTCTAGACTCCCTGGTATATACCTCACACTGAACATGACTGGTTACAGAGGGTCCAAGCTACATCTGAATTTCTCCAGTTTGTGGATGTACAAATTAAAGGTGTAGCTTGTCTCCAAATAGATATATGGGCCAGCAGTGAATTTCCCTGAAGTTCAGATACGTGAATTTGAGTTTTGATTTGGCCTCAGCACTAAATACAAGTTTAAGACCTATATATTATAATAGCTCAGTTACAGGACGTTAAAACCAAATCGTGGACTTTTGAGGATTTAGTTAGTGACTTCCTTAAGAATCATGTTGTTAGATCCTGTACTTCTCTTTGAATATTTCAGATAATGGCCATGGCATTTATTTAAAACTTTAAAAGCACCAAAGACTATTCTTCAAACAAGCTGACTTGAATAGCTAGTGAAAAATTCTCACACTTGTTTTTGAAAAAATGTCGTGTGTCCTGGAAATTTCCATGGAAGGTTGTTCCATTGCATACATGTAACATCTCTTCTGGAGAGACAGTGATGTACAGCCAGATTCCTACTTACAGTCGCTAATGTTAATTGCATTGGGTCCAGTCTTGCTGAGCTTTTTTTGATAGGTGTTGGGTACTTAACACTGAGCTTATTATTTTTACTAATGCATCATCTCAGGTGTGCATTTTACAGACAAACAGGATCATGCCCAACGTCCCTATCCTGAAGAATGTATAATGTAGAAAATATATGAACCCCTATTGAGTGAGATGACAGCCTACAGGGAACCCAGGAATGAAGGGAGATTGAAATGGCATAATGTCATGTGATTGATTGTAGACTTACCAAACATCGTTGTGTGTGTTCTATATTTTTGTTGAATTATAAATATTTTTACCAAGCTTCCTCTGAAGGTGAGTAGGAACTAGCAAGATGGGGACTAAGATCCTTAATTTGTGGGCAGAGAGTGTGGGGTCAATGCTGGAAAGAAGTAGATTTGGAGCAGGGATAGGCAATAAAATGGCAGCTAGCGGTTAGCTCCTGGTGAACTGCTGCTGCTTTATTTACCTGCAGATCCCATTGCTGCGAACAGTGATCCACTACCAATGGGAATTGTGATCCCCTGTACCTGTGGAGGTGCAGGTAAATTTGGTGGTGTGGGGGCCCACCAGGGGTTAACCCCGGCAAACTGGAACCAGCCCACAGGCTGGTATTTGTCCACCCCAGGTTGGAGGAAAGATTGGAAATTATATGCTTCATTAGCCACTGTTGTATCTTAAAGGATATTCATGTTATAGAAGAAAAACAACCAGAACAGGACTGATAGCATACTAAGCTTTAATCTAAAAAAAAGATTAATTCAAAGTTTAGCATTATAAAAGGATATCAAATTTTGAATAAAAAAATGCTTTTACAAAGAAAACACACATTTTTATATTGCATCCCCTCCACACACAAAAACCCCACCTTAGTGCTTTCTTTTATTTTGACAATTCCAATGTATGGACCGTCTCAAAGCAGTATTTCAGCATATATTCACATGTGAAATGTAAATGAAACATTCATTTCTGTAACAAAGATATTTTTTCATATGTGAGTCTGAGCCAAGTCGTCGTTATGACTAGCTTATCTACACATGGCTCCGAAGGCAGGTGCCACATAACTTATTTTAACAAAATGGAATAAAACTACTGCTCATTGCAACATGCCCACCCCTCCGTATTATGGTTTTTAGAAGTCAGCAGTCCATTCATCACTTCATTGATCAATTCAGTTACTTATAATTCATTGTTCAGGGTCTGACCTTTTTTCAAATTCCTTGCTAGTTCACATCTGCAACTTCCTGTTCCCTTAAGGCACTCCAAAAGAAAGAAAAAAGAGAGACAGAAGAAAACATGACAGAAAAGGTATGAAAACTTGTAGGAACTTCTCCCAGAGAGCAAGAAGAATGCCCTAGGCAGGGGTTTACTGGCTACACCTCCATATGGCAACTATTCATAATTTGTTCAGTGATAGCTTTTCCTTCTTGAGGACCCTGCGGCACCCCCAGGAGTGGATGGGAGCTCAGCCAGGTGTGGGAAAAACTAGACAGACAAGCCTGTTTAACCTTCTTTGTCTCTTCATAATTCGATTTACAATACTGAACAAATATGTCCCTTTGCTGTCTTGTGCTGACTGCCGGAACATGCTCTAGGGATTGACAGAGGCTAATTTGAGTGACATGCTGATCCATCATATTGTTTTTCAGTCAGCTGCGTGATTAATTCAGGCAAAAGAGCATATCTCCACATACACCATGCACACACTGTCACATACACCCAAAAGCAAACAAACAAAACCTTAATTAAACCTATAATGGAAGGCACCTCAAATGGATAAAATACATTTTTCTACAAGAGTCCTACCCATAAAATAGCTATTGGAATCCTTTAGTGGTTGCATTCTTGTTGCATTATCTTTGGAAAACAAAATAATAAAAATAAAACATCACCAATGGACAAATATCCATTCACTTAGAGGCTGCACAAATGAGTCAACAGCAATTTTCCACACTTTCGTTGGACCCAGAAACATAAAAACTTCAACACTGCTTGGAAAAATTGTAAATACATGAGTTCTTAATTTAAGCAGTTTTTCATCATAATTGAGTTTAAATGACTGTAGTGATAAGGAAAAATAAGGCGTATTATTGAAACTAAGATACCTAGAGTCAGATTTCTATAATAATGTTTTCAAGAAAGCTGCTTAAAAAAATTTAAATGCAAACTTTTACATCTCCAACACGTACAGATTTCATACGACAAAAGAAGACACATACATTGTATGTGATAATTTTTCCAAAACTAGCTGTTACATTTTCACAGATTTAAAAAAAAAACAGTCTGTTTAAATATCTCATTTCTACAAGGTGAATTTACATTTTAAAGTACAAAGTGCAAATACTATGGTTGTTCTTTTAAACTGCCTTTTGGTGAGGAAATCGCCCACATGTCAAAGAGATCTGCCTTGGATATGTAAGATGTTCACCCTTGCTTCTTAGAGCTTTGCTGAAAAGATATATATATTTAAAAGGTTATATTATTAGTGATGACTGCAAGTAATTTCATTCACATAGAAACACTTATTATTTATATTCCAGTGCTGACCATAGTCCCCAATCAAGATAATAGCCCCTTGTGCTGGATGCTGTACAAATACATATGGGAAAACAACCCGTGCCCGCAAAGAGGTAATAATCTCTCTTGTGATCCATGTAGAGCAGAGGTGGGCAATAATTTTTGCAGGGGGGACACTTAATGAATATTGGTACATGGTCATAAGCCGACTGCACCACTGGAAGGGGCAAGACTGGGGCCAGAGGCTTTGAATTAAAAACATAGCCAAGGGCTTGAGACTCCTGGCCCCACTGTTACTGTATTGCCTGGCAGCTGCCCATGTTGCTGTGGCGATTTAAAGGGCTAGCAACTCTGGCCTCTGCTGAGGTAGTGCCACAACCAGGAGCCGTGAGCCATTTAAATAGGATCCTGCTGCCTAAGCCACCGCCTGGAAATTTGGTGGCACGGGCTGCAGGATATAAATAGAAAGGAGCCAGGTGTGATCGGGTGGCACGGGCTGCAGGATATAAATAGAAAGCAGCCAGGTGTGGTCGGGGGGCCGGATCAAAGTGTTAGGCAGGCTGAATACAGCTCCCAGCCCACATCTTTCCCAGTCCTGGTGTAAAGTGACAAAACCAACATCTTTACAACATTTTCCCTGTGACATCCTTGGGTTCTGCGAAACACAAAGTTCAAGATCATAACAGCTGCCATGATGGGCTACAAGTGGGTCTTTATGCAGACATGTATGGATAAGGGGGTGCCATTCTTCTCTGAAAGATTTCTTCAGAACTGCTTTCTGAGCAAGTGCAGCCAGAGTTGGGGTAGAGTAGAGAGAGCTTCCGGGTTTCTTCTTTAGGAGCGTGTCTTGGTTGTTTGCTTCTATCTGTTATATTGAGCTGCCCTTTCTACAGATAAGGTGTTAAGTTTCTTCTCTAAGCTTTACTGACCGGTGAACTTCACACTAGAAGAAAACATGACTTCTGAGATAGTGTGAGCCTTCCTAGATCATTGCTTAGTAAATCAGGATGATAAACTAGAAAATAATGTTCCCACCAATACAAGTTGCAGAACCCTGGAGTATGCTTTCTATGACGTGTGCCATATAGGAAATGGACTACTGGTAGATATTATATGTATCAATCTCAGTTTCCCTATAAATTCCTCTAGGCTGCAAGTGTCCTTTTATAAAAAAAATTTGGAGTTATAACTTTTATGTTTTTCCTCTATGGGTCTAATTGATATAGACTTACAGAAATGTAGATCTGGTAGGAACCTAAAGATGTCACCTAGTCCAGCCCTTTGTGCTAAGTAAATCTAAACCGTCCCTGACAGCTGTTTGTGGACTCTCTTTCAACCCCCCCTATGAAACCTGTTCCAGTACTTAACTACCTTTACCATTGGAAAGCTTTTCTTAATATCTAACCTAAATGTCCCTTGCTACAGATTACACCAATTATTGTTTCTTCTACACTCAGTGGACAGACATGGAGAACAATTGAGGCCTCATCAGTACCGTTAATACACAATATATCCCAGAATATTTGCTCTGTGTGAAAGAGAGAGAAGAGTAAAGCAGGAAGCAGAGTAAAGCAACTGAAGTGTGGCTACTTACCTAATTCTTTGAGTTCTATTAATATTTTATTTCAGATAGAAAAGTCACACATCAGATTACATGGACTTTGGTGTAGGTGTCTATATCTATATAGTTACAAGTAATCTATATTACTGAATAAAAGGTAATGCCTTGATCACTAGTCAAATTTAAAAAAAAAGTAGTACTATGGAAAATGATGTGGTCTTTCCCATGATGATTATAGTTCAGTTGCCCATCTCCAAAGAAGCTGATTTGACCTGCTCTTGTAGGCTTTTTTTTTTTTTCTGAGCAGGTCCTAGCCAGATTACTTTATTTCCAATGGCTTCCTTTCAAGTGCAAGCTTTTGTGATGAAAGCCACCTTTTGCTTAGGAGGGACATTTGTAGCTTTGCAGCGTTGTAGTGTGTGACTGCAAACAGATGGCTTGCACAGCCAACCTCAAGATTCAAGGCTATCATTTCTCACCAAGTGCTTTTAAAATAATAGATACTGAGTCAGCAAAAACATATAAAGATTTTTTTTTTAAAGAACATAGAAACAGTGGAGCTCTTTCATACTGAATGCTACATGATGGAATCAGATTACAAGAAAAGGGGAGAGCGGGGGATATTGTGCTTTGAGTGTTATACGCGTGCCAATATTTGCTATTATGTAATTAAAATAACCCTTTGAACATTTTTTTAGTTCCTCCACTGTCATTGTTTTCAGGCTGCCCTGTTTAAAGTGATTTGCGGGCAGGATTTGAAAAGTTAAGACCATGAACATTTGTCTAATCAAAGGGAAACTTATCACATCTCTGTTGCTGTGAGGACGTTTTACATTCCATCAAAGGCGTGTGTAGGAGAGCTCTGGTAAAACCCACAACAAATGCAGAGCTTGCCTTAGGAAGTGTGCTCCTAACATCAAGCAAATCAAGAGATGAAATAAGTAACAAATTGGCTAGCTGCAATCAAAGAGCTTTGCCTTAGCTTTGGGGAACGCTATAGCAATTTCATCCTGTATTTGTTTCTTTGTTTCTGACAAATATAGCTCTCTAGTAGATAGGAAGTGGCATTGAATTAACCACAATTATGTCCCTTTTATAGCACAGTGATCATCCTGTCTGGTTTAATGTTGCTATTTAATCCCCTAGATTATTACTTTAAATTATTTAGTTTCCTTAGTATCTTAAAAGACAATTCATCATCTGTTTCTGTCTTGTGTGTATTAATTGGCGTTTGTCTTGTGGTGTGCCTGATGTAAAAATAACTGGCAGTTCTAGCCATGAGGCCCTCCAGAAGTGAAATCTTAATTTAAAATGATATATAAATATAAATCCATGCCAAAAAAAGCAACCTTCTATTCTCTCTCTCTCTCCTGGCCTACCCAGTACCTCTGGTCTGTTCAATGTCTGTCTTATTTGACTGTAATGTCTTCTGAGCAGGAAGCATATTACTATGTCCTGTACAGCACCAAACACACTTTCAGAAGCCTAATGAATAACAGTAAATTGGTGGGATCCAGACTGCAGGCAGCAACATTCATCCCTATACAGAGAACTCATGAGACTGAGGCCCCATTTATACCCTGATTGTTTTTTTCTTAAGTAGGGAAAAAAGCATGTTCTTGACATGTGTTATAATCCTGTTGTAAACAAGGCAAATTGTAGTTATAATACGTCAGCTTGTCAAGGTAAACCCTGGGGAACCAACTAAGGTTTACCTCATCCAGCAAATGGGTTAAAACTACAGCTGCTTTGACTATTAGGTGGGTAAACACATCCTTGCACTAGTGAAAGTGGGGCTCAAAAGTTGCATAGGTTTCATGTAGGCCCTCTGCACAAGGGAAAATTTCAGTCGGTTTGAATAAACAGGCTGTTTCCTAAACATTTCCATGGGGAATCCTTCCACCCACATCACAGTGTCAGATGACCTTGGCTTCCAGGTGTAGCCTTAAGGTTGAAATGATAACAGCTGAAAAATGCAGTATGGAGAGGCAGAACAGAGAAGGCTCCGTCCATTACTCACCTGCCTGTTGGAAGAAGTGCTTTCAGGATTGTTTTTGGGGGCTGGTAGAGGAGACGGGAAAAAAAAGTCAAGAAATGGTTTGCATGTAGTCTCTGTGCAATACTGAGTACATTTTACTTATTCCTAGTTGATAAACAATGTTCCCCTATTACAGAAATAGCACCCTAAAGTGCGCCCCAGTTAAAACCACAACAGTAAAGTTGTAATTAGGAGTACGCTGCATATTACTGCAGAATATTACAGTGGTTGCTTTATAAGGACTGGAGAATGCAAAGTGGAATGGAAATTTTCCCCTGCCACCTGCCTGCAATGTATATTTGAACAAAGAAAGGTCATCACAACGCAAAATCTTGTATCCATGCTGTTAAACACCTAGATCAAATCTGCATTTCTTGGGCAGTCCAGTGGCACAATTGGAATACAGGAATAGGGCCCAGTTATTCAGTGGAATGTTTCATCTAAACTGACAGCGCTGTGAACATGCCTAGTAACACAGACAAAGGGAGGGGGGCAGAATCCTGGGTTTTAACTAAAAGGAACTGCTGGAAATGGGGCATTGTTCTAAGTGTTTATAAGCAAGGAGCAAGCATGAATGGTATGTTCTGCATCAGAACCGTTCCATGCTTTGCCTACAAGACAGTCTTGAACAGTTATTTTCTAATAAGATGGACTTTGAGAGGAGGTAACATGATCATAGCAGCAGGTGACTTCCAATTCCTAATCCCACTGCTCACACCAAATCCTTGTGACCTTGAACCAAAGCACTGAGTATTCTTTAAACAACAGCATTATGTGGTGGCTTTTTCTCTTGTCTGTGATACTATAACTAGTAATATTCAGTTTCAGATATATAGAAATTAAATCAATGAATTTCTATTAGGCTAGTTCAATAATGCTACATGGAAAATATTGTCTCTTTTAGTTGCCTAGTGTGTTTTCACTTGCATTACTTATGGCAAAAATAAGTGTATTCAAGAGACCAGGAAGCCTCCAATATGAAATGTCATCTTTAGAAGCAATATAACTTTATATTTTTCCATAAGTGAGATCCTCCAAACAACTCACAAACAAATGTGTTTTCTTCTTTCCCCTTCTCAATAACAATGCTGGTTTTTTACTGGAGTGACTTGAAAGCTGAATAACTGGATTACTTCCCAGTAAATATCTGACATTCATTTAGTGAGTGTTGTTACCTATTCAATTAATCATAGAATAACAAAATATTAGAACTGGAAAGGACCTCACGAGGTCATCAAGTCCAGTCCCCTGCCTTGAGATGTCAAATGTTGGATATCTCAAACTCGTTTATTTATTGCTTTGAATTTCATTCTAATTTCCCTAAAGAACAAAGAGCAGGGGAAAGTGATGGCTGCCTGGAAGTATTTCTTTTTACATTCTTTTAAACATCACACCACAGTATATGCCATATTACCCAGAAGGGATCAGTAAGATTTAAATTATAAAGTGGAATTTTGTCACTTGCCCTTAAGTGGCAATGGAGAAACATGTATCCAGATTGCTAATCTGAATGCAGGGAGGAAAGCTGGCTTCATGGAATTTCAACTCCCCATATCCTTGGAAGTGAGTAGGTGGAGAAGGGTGTGGAGTAAATGGAACTTTAATTTTAATGCTTAGTCCTAACTTGCTGGCCAGCAGAGCTGAGTTGTTAAAATGGGAAAAGAAACGTGGCCCTCGTAATGGCTACTGGAACTTGCTTCCTTCTGGAGTCAAAGGAAACCAAAGTAGGAATTGTGATTCTCTGGATGTGTTGATAGAAGAAATGGTGCCCATGTGGCATGTGTTGCTCCCATTTAAGATTATGAAATCACCTGTATACATCAAGCCTAATTCCCTTCTCTTGCACCAGTGTAACTTTGACTTCAATGAAGCCATTCGCATTTTACACTGGAGTAAGTAAGGATATGTCTGCACGGTAGTGCATGGCTGAAAATAAGCTATACAATTTGAGCTTCACAAATTGCTTGGATTATTTCAAGAGAGCCTATTTCAAAATTTGGTGCTGTCTATACAGTGCTAATTTTGAAATAGAGAACTATTCCAATGAATCCCTTAATCCTCGTGCAACGATGTTTACAGGATGTCAGACTAATAAGCCCGCTATTTTGAATGTATTTTGAAATAACAGTGATTAATTCATCTCCCTGAGGGGCAATAGCTATGTTGATAGGAGAAGCTCTCCTGTCAACAGAGCACTGTGGTGACAGGGCTTGGTCAGCATAAATATGTTGCAGATTTTTCACTACCCTGAGTGGCCTAACTATATTGATATAGGTCTGTAATGTAAATCTCACCTTAGGGTAAAGGTGGGCAAATACACGTCCACTGGTGGGATCTGGTCCACCAGAGTTAGCCCTTGGCAGGCCCGCACACCGCTCTATTTACCTGTGCTTCCACAGGTATGGAGTATCACACCTCCTGTTGGCCACGGACTGCTGTTCCCGGTCAATGTGAGCTGCGATTGCCCGTAGCTGTGGAGGTGCAGGTAAATATAGCGGCAGAGGCTCAGCAGGGGCTAATCCTGGTGAACCTCTGCCGTTTTATTGCCCACTCCTGCCTTAGGGCCTGGTCCTCATTTATATTAAGACTGCTCTGCACTTCCTGGCAGTGCAATAGCACTTTAAAGTAGATGTAAAGGGATAAACTGTTGCACCCCTTGTACATTATCAGAATATACACGAGAATCAAGCTGTTAACTTTCAGTTTTGTCCGTTGGAAGGTGGGATAATAACTCTTCTCTACCGTTACTCAATGATGTTTAGATCTGCTGTACAGGTGAACAGTGTTCGATATTGTTGTTATTAAATCTACAGAAAATATACTCATTTTGATGTTTTATGAAATCCATATGTCTGCTAACCATTTCCTTTATGAGTGCAGTTTACTTCTGTTACCCTGTTTTATCTGACCTGTGGTGTCTGTTGATGAATAAAAGATCCATGGGGAACAATTTGTTTTTGACAGAGGTTTCCCAGTTGGCATGTTCCACTCATCCCTTATTACACTTATGATAGTTTATTAACTGACCTATGACTGAGGTCCCTCTCCTGTGTTCTGAAAAATCTTAAGCAAAATGTACAGCTATTCTTCATTCATATTTTAATCACAGCCTCTTATAATGCCAAGCAAGTACACCAATACAGACTTTCTCTCCCACTTTCCAGCATTCTTAAGAATGTTGTGTTTGATTTCCCCAGTGCCCCAAACATCTTCAATTATTATACTCCCTTTCCATCAATTCTCAAAGACTGTGAGTACCAGCAGCCATTCTGCCTGCTCGATGGAAGAATGGACACATTTTCTTCTGACCCATTCAGCTCTAGAAATGGTTCAAGTACCTACTAGAAAGTGAAAGTTTGCTTCCTTCCATAGCAAGACACACTCACTTGTTCTTTTGGTATTGTCATCTTAGCCAGAGCTTGGTGGCATTGTTCTGTTGGACTGGCTGCCTAGTGGAATCTAGTACTAACTTCCCCTCTTTGTCTTCCTACCATGAAATCATAACTTCCCTAGATTAGTATTTGTTGATTAGAGAGCGAAACTATTGCTGCTTCTGGGACTTGAACCATAGACCATCTGACACAAAAGCACCAACTCTGCCACTTTAAAGGATCTCTTTTAGCTCATCATAATTGCCATAGCAGTTTTTATACCTTTTGCAGGATTCCTAGGGACTGTGGCTTACCAAATCTAACTAATTTCTGTCTGATCAAAAAATCAGTTAAAAGGATAGTTAGAAAATGTTCTTACTGTGACGTTTCTTTGTGTCTGCTTTACCTTCTTCTTTTGTTACTCCCAGACAACCCATTAATTCTTGAACGGATAAGGATTTGTCGTTGTTCACATCGCAGTATTCTACAAACTTCTTCACACATTTTTTGGGCTTTGACTTTTTCCGCAGGAATCTCTTAAATGGCTTGATTTCCTTTTTTCCAATGTCACCACTGGAATTTTTATCAAGTTGTTTGAAATACCAGTGGACCACTCTCTCTTCCAGGGTATGATTTGGATCAGGTTCTGAAAGCCTGCAGTGCAAACAGAACATTAAGCTTCACATTTGATCACACCATCCTCTTTTGTTACTTACAAATCATTGGATACGCATTAGTGGATAATGGCATATTAGTAAAGTAGGATGATTTAAGAAATCCTTTGTTGCTAACTCTTGGACTACATCTACAGTGCACCATGGTTCAAAATAAGATGCGCAATTTGAGCTACGCAAATTGTATATCATATTTCAAAATAGCTTATTTTGTACTTGGGCGCTGTCTATACAGCATCAAATTTCGAAATAACCCGCTATTCCAAAATGTCCCTTACTCCTTGTGGAATGAGGTTTGCAGGGATGTTGGAATAGCAAGCCCAAAATAATGGGCTTGCTGTGAAGACATGAAATAGTTATTTCGGGATACTCTGGTATCCCGAAATAGCATTGCAGTGTAGAAGTAGCCTTGATGTCCTGAGGAGTCCAAGCTTTACAAGGGCTGCAAATTAACATAATATATTATACAGTGATCACACTTCAATATTTTGGTGGTTTTGAACATTTTTAAATGGTAGATAAGTAAAAATGTTGATATTAGTGCAAACGTTTTATATATGACCCTTCTAAATCACATATTCCAACAACTGGGGAGATGAGACTGGAATTCAGATTCTGCTGTAAATTCCCACTTTCTGACACTTAAACTACAGAAGAACGCCCATAGAGGCTAACAGTAGCAGGTCATTTATATTCTGTGATGTAGCAACTAGAGGGCACCATCGCACAAATACACACAAAGCCAATAATGATACAAGGATGCTGACAGAAGCCAGCATCAAAAAGAAAATTCAGATGGGCAGATGCGAATAAAGACAAATATGCATAATTTCCTGTTTCTCTGGGGAAGATGATGATGCTAAAATATCTTTCTGCCATAAAGTAGGGGAAGTACAGGAATTAATAACTCCTGTCTCTGTTGTGATTAAAGTATACAATCACAGAAGGCGCTTGACTACCACAGAAAAATATTGAGTGAGTGTGTTGTAGAGTCCAGAGGCTGGAAGCCATGATGTCTTAGAAATAGCTCTGGCTCCTCCGGAGAGAACAGGAATGGTCACAGCATGATTTACTGCTCTGCTGAAAAAAACATATCTGAGATTTATTGATGGCGGGACATTACATTTGGCATGAAAACCACTTCTAAAATTTATTAATTGAAACTTCTCTTTCACAAAACTCTACACTGTTATTGTTTTCCTTCCCATAGCTTATTTTGAAATTCCCATTGCAGAGATTCAGATGAGGTACTTAATTTACTGACCTTGTTGCTTTTAGATATTATATTCTTTTAGCATTTCCCACTTTCATTGCTATTTCAACAAGCTGCATGCTAAATTCTAGGCTGAACATCAAAGTCTGCTTTCAGTTATATTTTGGAAGCTTCATTGAAGTCTATGGGGTAGCCAGAGTCAAACCAATATCTATCTAGTCCAGTATCCTATCTCTGGATAATGCCAGAAGCTTCAGAGAAAATGGAAAGAACAGAGCAATTTCAAGTCATCCATCCCCAGCAGACTAGTCCTTGCTTCTGGCAGTCAGAGGTTTAGGGACACCCAGAGGAGTATGGGACAATCAGTGCTACACACAGCATTCAATTTTTGGGTGTACCATAGATGTATATGCTGGATATTTTCTGTTCCATTACCTAACCCTTTCCTAATGGTTCCTAACTTTCTGTTAGCTTGTTTGGCTGATACTTTACATTATTTTGAAAGAATTCGGCACAATGGCTCCAAGTAGTTCCTTGAGTGGAAACAGCTTATTTGGACCACGTCACTTTTTATTTATAGTTGAAATTGTTTTCCAACATAGATTATTTTGCACTTATCGATATTGAATTTCATCTGTCATTCTGTTGCCCAGTTACGCAATTTTGTGAGATCCCTTTGTTACTCTTCATAATCAACTTTGAACGTAACTGTCTTGAGTAATTGTATATTGCATGCACATTATGCCACTTCACAGTTAATTCTCATTTCCAGATCGTTTACCCCTTCCCAATTTGAAAACTGACCATTTATTCCTACCCTTTGTTTCCTACCTTTTAACCAGTTACTGGTCCATGATAGGACCTCCCCTCTTATCTCATGAATTTGCTTAAGAGCCTTTGATAATCAAAATGTGGTCCTCATCCATTAATTTAGTCTAATGGAGAGAAAGGACAATCTGAGGATAGACATAAAGGGGTAAAGGGTATCACCACAGAAAGGAGCTGTCACAGCCCTCCATGTTTTATGAAAATTGGCTTATGACTATGCATAACTCAAAGACACTTTATGCAAGACAGATCATGTAACCTGTCATTCAAGAGCTTGTGATCCCCTGAATGTGTATATTCAATGTTTGCACATGTATGAATCTTGTATGTGAAGTTAGGAAATATAAAGGGTGAATCTGTTTTTTAATGCTAAATGTACAAATGAGGGCCATTAGTGATACTCTAGGAACGTAATGGCTCAGTGATCAAGTCAATGAGCTGTGAATGGTTTTGTTTTTCCTGAAAGCCCAAATTGTGATTAGTCCTACAAGAGATATGTGACCATTTCAACCTGGTACTTTTCCACTCAAGGTGAGAGAAATTTAAATTGAGCACATAGAATTCCTGATTTGGGCAAAAAGGGATAGAAAAGAGGAAACCAAACATTGGGGGGAGTTGCTGGATGCCAGAAGACTCCCAACATACCACCCAAGATGCCTGCTGGGAACATCTAATATTGAACAGGGAAAGGATTGTGTCAAAGCTAGGAGCCTGCCTAGCTCGTGAAAGAGATGATTAGAACAACAGTTAAACTAAGAATTTCCATCTAACAAGTTTCTTAGTGAATTAGGATTAGCTGGCTTGTTTTATTTTGGTTTAGTAATTTACTTTGATCTGTCTGTTTTCACTTCCAATCACTTAAATCCTACTTTTTATACTTGTTTATTATAAGTCCAGTGTAAATCATCATTATTGGGGGGGGGGGGGGAACCACTGTGCATCTCTCTCTTTCATTGATAAAGAGGGTGAATGCATGAGCTTTCTCTGTTGAAAACTTTTATACAGAGTAAGATGGATTTACTTGGGGGCTTGGTCCCTTTTAGGGTTGGGTTCTTGAATGCTGCAAATGGCCCAATAGCTGAGTTGTCCCAAAGCTGAACTGGTTCAGTGTCTGTGTTGCTCTGCTGGGGGGACAGTAACCCCAATTCTGTGCCTTGGCTGGTAGAGACCAGAGCTTCTGGCTCAGCAGGATAGGGTGGTACAGAGCCTCAGAGGGCAGGGTTCAGTGGCTTTAGCAGTACACTGAGAGACAATCCTATGGGAACATCTGTGATCCAGTCGGTCACAGGAGAAGAACACCAAAACAATAGCTTACTGGATCAGACAGCCAGTGTCATCCAGTATCTCGAAGAAAGCATACAATAATGTGTATAAATATGTTTGAATAGTGCAATACTATAAATTCCTTCCTGACTCCAGGTAGATAAGCAGCTTGTACCCAGAAACCTGAAGATTGTTAGCACTTAAGCATTTAAAATCCAGCTACTGTAGCTGAAGATATTTTTCTTTAGAAAAAGTAATCGGCAAAAATTGAAAATAGCCCACTTTCTTCAAGTGTAGTTTAGTAACAAAGCAAAAATTGGGCCTGGGATGACTTATTTGACCTGAAGCTGTACTGCTGGTGAGAATTCAGATACTAAAACAGCAACAGAAAGGCTTTAAGTTTCTGCCTTGTGGATAGACCCCATGATATTTTTTCAGAGTATATTCTTTAAGGCTGTCTACACTGGCAAGATTTTGCTCAAAAGCAAATGCTTTTGCACAAAAACTTGCCGCCTGTCTACACTGGCCGTGAGTTCTTGCGCAAGAACACTGACGTTCTAATGTAAGAAATCAGTGCTTCTTGCGCAAGAACTATGACGTTCCCGCTCAGGAATAAACCCTCTTGCGCAAGTGTTCTTGCGAAAGAGGCCAGTGTAGACAGGCAACATGAATTTCTTGTGCAAGAAAGCCCAATGGCTAAAATGGCCATCAGAGCTTTCTTGCACAAGAGAGCATCTACACTGGCACGGATGCTTTTGAGCAAAAGCACATCTCTTGCGCAAAAGCACATGCTAGTGTAGATGCTCTCTTGCGCAAATACTTCAACGCAAAAACTCTTGTGTTAAAAGTGTTTGCGCAAAATCTTGCCGATGTAGACGTAGCCTAACAGTTCTAATGGAATCTGTTTGCAGTTCAGGAAGGTAGAAATAGAATTGCTACCTCAAAGGGCAGGGTGTTGTTTTTTAATTTCCAAATGAAGTCAGAATTCTTCTTAAAGGCCCACACTAGAGATCCATTTCCCATCACCTAAGTAAACCCCACCTGCTGGAAGACAACGATGGATCAGAGACTGCATGGACCATATCAGTGGAGAGTGCATCCAGAACACTGGTCAGGAATTCGTTCTTCTTGGGTCCTGGACAACCTAGGAGGGCAAGACAGTTTCCTTTTACTTGTGCTTAGCTGGATAATTTAACTCTAAAAATACTACTTTGTTAGAGATGGACCTGAACCAGAACACTTCATTTAAATGCTTCACAATTTTGGGAAAGTTCAGATCCTGGTCTAGAACCAAATGTCTAGATCCAGAACCACTTCTATATTATTGATCAGAACCAGAAAACAGATCCAATAACCCTTGAAGTCAGGGGTGTCTGGCTTCAGTTCTAGCCCTCATGGTTTGAAAGTATCTCCTTTTATCTCAAGATTTTTATTTGGGTTTGTAACATAAGTTCTTTGTTGATGTGATACATCAAACAAACACAGCCATTTGACGTTTGACCATTAGGCAGTTTGACAATGCATGGAACAAGCTAAGTAGCATCACCTTAGTTTTAGACACCCCCTTTTACTTCTCTTAAATGTGTTGATCATCAACACTATGGTCTGCAGTTAATCTCTCTCTGCTTCATTTGCCCATTTGTGAAATGGGGATAATACTACTTTTCTCCCACCTTTGTCTTGTTTCATCTATTTAGATTGTATGTTCTTCAGGAAGAGGGACTGTCTCCTGTATAGCACCTAGCACAATGGGGCCATGATCTTGGTTGGGACCTCTAAATACTACTGTGATACTATTTAATAATAATACGGTCACTTCCTCCGAGAGCTAATGCTCTAACTTTGGTTGACAGCACAGTTCACCAATCTCAAAGCAGTGCATCTGGAGTGTAGGGATTCTGCTGATAACCTGACAGGTGTTGACAGTTTGATTTTTCACTCACACAATCCACCTTCCCTTTTTCATTCCCCCCGCCCCCCCCCCCAGCCCTCCCACCTCTGGGATCTTGAGCCAAGCTTCATGATTTTTCCTACCTCTATAAAGGACTGAGCTAAACTGTAGCATGCTACAAATACCCACAAGTATTGCAGAGAGAACAGGGGACTGAAATTTGTATTTTGCTGCTCAAGCCTATCTTTAGTATTTTAATGGTAAATACTTTAATGGAGGTGCAGTTACTCTAGTGTTCTTCCCCAAAACAGATGAGGGAAGTGCTTGGAAGGTTTCTGGGGAAGGAAGATTAGTGCATCCACAGGGATTCATTACTTCATTACTCTTCAGCATGGCCCCTCAAGAAGGAGGTGGAACTATCTGAGACTGGAAAGCTCAACCTTGCCTGACAAGTTATTCTTTAATAGGTCCCTTGTTGATACAAGGAAATGAGCTGCTGTTATATTAGCCGTGAGCAGTGGCACAGTCAGAATGGGTTAAGCTGTTTGGCTGTTGTGTGCAGCAGCAGAAGCCACTGCACATTATTATACCCAGTATATTTATGCAGTTACAAATGCCTGGTCTTATGTAGTTCCCCTTGACACTGGGCTATGTTATTCATGTAAGATGCATATAACAGGAATTCACTGAAGCAAGTTCTGCTGTACTAAAGACACGTATCTCAAACCAAGTGCAACTGTCTTAGAAGAGTTGGTCTTTGCTTTAGTCATTCTCCACTGTCCGTGGATTAAAATGGCAAACAGACATGACTATAATCTAAAGTCCAAAGCATAAAGGCAGCTAGACTGGTTCTGTAAATATTTTAAAAGGGCTGTGTGTGGTAGGTGCGATTCAGACTGCCGATCGCTCTCATGCAGACCAGCTGACAGGGGAGGACAAATAGGGCAACTGCACAGAGGTTCAGCTGTTCAAAGCCGGGTCAGGACTCTTGGCCACTGTTGCTATTATTTTGGTTCTAGGCCCCTTTGAACTACCCCAAGAGCCTCACTCTGCTGCTCAGCTCCATTTTGAAGATTGGGGGACCCAGTGCCATGATCCGGGCGGCACTAAGGGCTGAGTGCCCGAGGCCCCATTCATTCCACTTTCAGCCCCTCTCCTTCTGGGGGCATGGAGCCGGGGCTCCTCCCACCCTGCCCTGGGGTCCATGGTGATTGTTGACTCTGCTGTTCTTGTTACATGTTCTTGATGACAGCAGTCACTAGGGACTCAGCTGGGACAAAGCAATTGTTGGCATTTCTGACCCACACACCTTAAATGATCTAACTATGAGGTGTGGAGTGCAGTTGAGCAGTGCAACCAGCACAGCCTTTGCCAGTTGTTGTTTGGCTTGAGACCCCCTGATCGGACAGAAGATTGAATCCTGGTTCTTATTCCCTGAGAATTCAAATCTTACATATCTCACACAACTCTGACCATGTTTGTGCTCGCATTGTGGGTGAAATATGCATCCATTATGTAAAGGCTGAGTACATGGGCTCAAGTTGCAGTGCAGTGAGGTATGGGTCGGTTCTCAACTGCAGTACAATTCCCTCACCCCTCTCCTCATGCTGTCAGCATGCCAACCTATGGGCCAGAGCAGTGCCTATCGCCCCTCTGCACCATTGCTGCAGAGTTTTGATCCCACTGGCTCCATATAAAGGTAAACCGTACAGATGCTCCCCATTACAACCCCCTCTACTGGCCACAGAGGCATGCCTTGCCTGGCTTTCTGCCCTATCCTTGCTTTTCCAGATAGCCCTAGTCAAGGGCTGAAGTTAGGACCTGGTGCTTGCAGTCTGTATTGCACCTGAACTTTGACATGAATGAGCAAGTGTCAACTGGCAAAGTCTGGGAAGGAATGTTGCATTTTTTCCCCTCTAAAGCCACTGCACTCTTCTCTTTCTGACTTGGCAAGGTCAGATCAAATACAAAATGACCCAACACATTGCCCCAAACTCAAACTCAGCTGGAATCTTTTAAAAGGTTTGAATATGTACCTTTATAGTTATTTTTATTATTCATCTCGGGGTTTTTTTTAACACCATGCTCACCCCTCCTCCCTCCCAAGATGTCATGTCCACAAGTCTCTGAGCTTCATCTGGGGCCAAAAAGCAGAAGTATTAAAATGCTATGAGAAGAGCTGTTTCTCTAAAGTTTTCAGCCCAGTTATACAGACACCAAAGGCTCAATAAAATTCTGATAACCACATAATATTGGGAGTGGACTAAATTAATTTGGAGTGAAGCACTCTAATTCCAGAATAAGTCAGTCCTGAAGATAGACATGTGAGTTGGAAGGCTCATGATCATGTATCAGCCTTACAGCGCTGAAGGCTCTGTTCCATATCAGCTGAAAAAGGGTTACCCCACAGGTTAACTAGAGGCACCTGAAGCCTGTTCAGCGCTGCCAGTGACCTTTAAAAACACCTTTTCTAATGAGAG